CCCTGGGACCTATTACCGTAACCGTATAGTCATATTATTATTTCTTTATTTTTTGTATTGAGAGATATATAAAAATATATAATTATGAAAAATTAGAATTTTACTTTTCATTGCGAAAATCATTTTCTTTGGCGCATTGTTTTTTAACCGGACAGATTATTTGTTTCACCTGTAATAAAATAATATAATACATATTAAACACAATAAAAAAATGAACATATCTAACACGAAACGGATAGACGGGAAGCAGGCATCTCAAACGAATTGCGAAAAAAAAACCCGCCTACGAACGACCCCGGAAAAAAATCCCCAACCCTAGGAAAAAAATCCCCAGACCGCAATATTACTCACAACCTCTTGAAAATGGTTGAACATATATTTCTAAACGTTAATTATTATCTATAATTAGCACATTATTAATATTTAAACTAGTCTTAAGTACACTCGGACATCTCTTAAAGAACTAAATTCGAACAACGCCAACGTATAAAATTTGAGCACTCTTTTTGAAAATGATAAACAAATCCGATGTGCGCAGGCTTAGGTTTTTTACCATCAGTTTTAAAAATTTCCACCATTTCCATAGTGTTGTCGTTCTGTACTTGTKTAGTGTGTGTTGTGTCCTAAATGTGTACTGAGACCTATAATATGTGGTGCACTAAAAAACGTTGCTAATTTTTATTGTACAATACAATGTTTGAACATGGTCATACCCGATACCCATTTATTTTAAGATAAAGAGTATCAAAATTATGTTTGTGAGCCCATTACAGATAAGCTAGGTAGTTGTAACCTTTTACCATATCTATGCCTTTGGCTGCATACTAGTTGCGTCCCGAAAATATTTACGAAAAAAGGTCTAATCCGAATTGCGGCCCGAGTTTATTTTGGGTACAGACGAGTTGCGGCCCGGGTTTTTTCAATTCTAGATAATTTACCTAATCTTAACCGAAAGACCTATCATGCAGTGACTTGGTATACTTAATAAGTACGTCCTGATATCTTCAACGGATGTAGAACGAAGTTTTTCTCGATTT